CGGCCGTGGCACCGCCTGCCCCCCCGCCTGTGCCAGCAGAGCTAGCCCGCATCGCGCTCTGTGCGTGGATGGAGGGCAGTGCTGCCGAAAAACAAGTGCAGGCAAGGTCTGGGTTAGTGACAACGATCTGCAGAGATCTGTGCGCCTGAATTAAGGCGTTGTTGTAATGGTTAATTATTGACTCTAGGCCCCGAGTCCTTCCTCAGGGCCGAGGAGTATTGGGAAATTCACAAAGCTTCTCCTAAACGGCCTTGGCCAAATGCCTGGGTTAAGTGTGTTTGAAGAGAATTGGTTGGTGCAGGAGAAAGAGCTTACTGACTTCTGGCAGGTCTGGAGAACATAAAATCAAAGGGGAAGAGTGATAGGGTTGAGTTGTAGGGAATGTGTGCTCTCCAGAGGAACCTCTTGGCTTGTTGGGCTGGTGCGCAGAAAAGGGATGCCACTGCAGTATGGCTCCTGTACATAAACACATACATAAAGAAAACGCATCAGTGTTTGAGGAGGGGAATGTACTGGGGCCGTGATCAGAAAAACATGCAGGATGTTGTCAGCATTCTTCAAGGAGCTGCTGTTTCCACACATCAGTGATTTATCTCAGTGGTGATGCGTCCTGTGTACCTTCGTGTTCTCACTGTGACAGTAGCACTGTATAGGTCTGAAGCCAGCTTTGCAAAATCTATTGCTATGACTTAGTCTTATTTGTCTTATTTAAGTAGATACTAAACCACAAAACAAGTGATGGTGGGTGGGTGTCTCCTTTCTGAATTCAGTTTGTTTTCCATGAGAACTAGAGATAGGTAGAGAAAGATATTATCTTCCTTTAGGATAGGAGCGCCTCAGATGACTTAATTTTTCAAGTTTATGTGCTCATAGTAAATAGAGTCTCACTGACTCACAAAGCCATTTTATACTTTTTTTTTAACCCCCAGTTTTTGCTTTCTAAACTAGTTTGGAAAGTCTTGATGCAGTAGCTAGAACATAGCTTAATGTTCATTCTCTTCCCAGACTAAACATGTTTAATGTTTATTTTGGAAATAACAGCACAAGTTAGTTTAAAAATAAAAAAAAACAACAAAAAAAACTGGGGAGCAGTCTTCCCCATGTGCTTGTAACCTGGGGCCCTTGCATTGCAAACCTCACACCTCTAAATAGCTTCATCTAGATGAACAGACTGTGTACAGTGGGACCCCTCATTCTGGGTAAAGCCATTCATGGGCCTCTGTATTCCTGAGAGTTCAGCCTGAGGCACAAGGGCTTGGTATCTTGCAGTAGTATCCTAACAGCTGCATACAAGAACAGGGCTGTCTTGCGAAGAGGAACTTGCCAAGTCATAGGTCTTGCATAATCAGAGCTGAGAATCGAGAAACTGTGGCTGTTAGAAAGCAGGGAACTGTGTTAGAGCAGTTCAGTGGCTTATGGGGTTGGGTATTGTCAAGGAACAAAGTGCACATGGAAGGGCAGAGTTCAGGTTTATTTTTTTGAGGCTTTGTGAACAAATATCTTGGGAAATCTCTGTTCCATACAGAAAACAAACCTGTCCTGTATTTATTTTAACAGCAGAGATGAAGCTTGCTGCGAGAAAGTACTCTTGATGTGGCCCTTGGATTTCTGTATCTGTTTCCTTCCTTCCTGGGGAATGAAGCTCATAAAGAAGTTGGCAATGTATTAATCTTAATGCCAGCAATATGAGCTGTCATTGAAATTATGTCCATTAACCCCCATTTTTCAGAAAAAGAGGAAGAAGTGGGTAACTAGACTAGAGCTCATGAAATTCAAAATTAAACAGCACTCATCTATTTCTGTGGAATTTGGGGGAAGAGTTTGGTCATGCTTTCACATTCTTTTGTACAACCATAATTGAAGTTCATATCCTTAGAACACACGCCCTTAAATATCAGATATTAACCTTTATTTTTATCCTTGTATAGACTTCCTTAGGAGCTGGGACTTTAAGAATACCGGTTAGCATGAGACTGGGAATAAACTGTGGTTATTTTTGAGACACTTAG